TAGAATGATGAAAGGGTTGGAACACTTCCCCTATGAAGAAAGGTTAAAGCGCTTGGGGCTCTTTAGCTTGGAGAAATGATGACTAAGGGGTGACATGATCAAGGTTTACAAAACTATGCATGGGATAGAGCAGGTAGAGAAAGAAGTACTTTTCTCCCTTTCTCACAATACAAGAACTCGTGGGCACCCAATGAAATTCCTGAGCAGTTGAGTTAGAACAGATAAAAGGAAGTACTTCTTCACCCAAAGAGTGATTAATGCATGGAATTCACTGCCACAGGAGGTGGCGGCGGCTACAAGCATGGACAGCTTCAAGAGGGAACTGGATAAACATATGAAGCAGAGGTCCATCAGTGGCTATTTGCCACAAGCTATAGATAGGATCACTGCCTTGTCGTGGCGAGGGGGCTTGCGCAGTTCAATGAAGCTGTGGGCTATGCCGTGAAGGGCCACCCAAGACGGACAGGCCACAGCAGAGAACTCAGACCAAGCGTGATCCACCTGGAGAAGGAAATGGCAACCCACTCCAGTATTTTTGCCAAGAAAACCCCATGGACAGTATCAAAAGGCTAAAAGATATGACGCCGGAAGATGAGCCCCTCAGGTCGGAAGGTGTCCAATATGCTACTGAGGAAGAGCAGAGGACAAGTACAAGTAACCCCAGAAAGAGTGAAGCGGCTGGGCCAAAGCCGAAAGGACCCTCAGTTGTGGATGTGTCTGATGGTGAAAGGAAAGTCCAATGCTGCAAAGAACAATACTACATAGGAACCTGGAATGTAAGATCTATGAATCAAGGTAAGCTTGACGTGGTCAAAAATGAGATGGCAAGACTGAACATCGATATCCTAGGAATCAGTGAACTAAAGTGGACAGGAATGGGCGAATTTAACTCAGAAGACCATTATATCTACTACTGTGGCCAGGAATCTCGTAGAAAAAATGGTGTGGCCTTTATAGTCAACAAGAGAGTGCAAAAGGCAGTACTGGGATACAATCTCAAAAATGACAGAATGATTTCTGTCCGATTCCAAGGCAAACCATTCAACATCACAGTAATCCAAGTCTATGCCCCAACCACTGATGCAGAAGAGGCTGAAGTGGACCGGTTCTATGAAGACCTACAACACCTCATAGAACTAACACCAAAAAATGATGTCCTCATCATCATAGGGGACTGGAATGCTAAAGTAGGAAGTCAAAAGGTAACTGGAATAACAGACAAGTTTGGCCTTGGAAAGCAAAATGAAGCAGGGCAAAGGTTAACAGAGTTTTGTCAAGAGAACACACTGGTCATAGCGAACACCCTTTTCCAACAACCTAAGAGGCGACTCTACACATGGACATCACCAGATGGGCAACACCGAAATCAGATTGACTATATAATTTGCAGTCAAAGATGGAGAAGCTCTATCCAGTCAGTAAAAACAAGACCTGGAGCTGACTGTGGTTCAGATCATGAGCTACTCATTGCAAAATTCAGACTTAAACTGAAGAAAATCGGGAAAACCATGAGGCCATTCAGGTTTGACCTAGATCACATCCCTGATGAATATACAGTAGAGGTGAAGAATAGATTCAAGGGTCTGGATTTGATAGATAGAGTGCCTGAAGAACTATGGACAGAGGTTCGTGACATCGTACAGGAGGCAGCAATCACCACCATACCAAAGAAAAAGAAATGCAAGAAAGCAAAATGGCTTTCTGATGAGGCTTTACAAATAGCAGAGGAAAGAAGGAAAGCGAAAGGCAAAGGCGAAAAGGAAAGATTTACCCAACTGAACGCAGATTTCCAGAGAACAGCAAGGAGAGATAAGGAGGCCTTCCTGAATGAACAGTGCAAAGTAATAGAAGAAAACAATAGAATGGGAAGGACTAGAGATCTCTTCAAGAAAATTGGAGAAATCAAGGGAGCGTTCCATGCAAAGCTGGCCATGATAAAGGACAAAAACGGTAGGGACCTAACAGAAGCAGAAGAGATTAGGAAAAGATGGCAAGAATACACAGAAGAACTATACAAGAAAGACCTCAATGTCCTTGACAAACACGACGGTATAATCACTGACCTTGAGCCAGACATCCTGGAATGTGAAGTTAAATGGGCCTTAGAAAGCATTACTAACAACAAAGCTAGTGGAGGTGATGGTATTCCAGCTGAGCTATTCAAAGTCTTAGAAGATGATGCTGTTAAAGTGCTGCACTCCATTTGCCAGCAAATTTGGAAAACGCAACAGTGGCCACAGGATTGGAAAAGATCAGTATACATTCCAATCCCAAAGAAGGGCAACGCCAAGGAATGTTCAAACTATCGCACAATTGCACTCATATCACACGCTAGCAAGGTCATGCTCAAGATCCTACAAGCTAGGCTTCAACAGTACGTGGATAGAGAACTACCAGAAGTACAAGCTGGGTTTCGAAGAGGTAGAGGAACTAGAGATCAAATTGCCAACATTCGCTGGATTATGGAGAAAGCAAGAGAGTACCAGAAAAATATCTACTTCTGCTTCATTGACTATGCTAAAGCTTTTGACTGTGTGGATCACAACAAACTATGGCAGGTCCTTAAAGAGATGGGAGTACCAGACCACCTCACATGTCTCTTGAGAAACCTGTATAAGGGCCAAGAAGCGACAGTTAGAACCGGATACGGAACAACTGATTGGTTCAGCATAGGAAAAGGAGTACGACAAGGATGTATACTGTCACCTTGCTTATTTAATATATATGCAGAGTACATCATGCGAAATGCTGGCCTGGATGAATCACAAGCGGGAATTAAGATTGCTGGGGAAAAGATCAACAACCTCAGATATGCAGATGATACCACTCTAATGGCTGAAAGTGAAAAGGATCTAAAGAGCCTCTTGCTCAGAGTAAAAGAGGAGAGCGCAAAAGTGGGCTTGAAGCTCAACATCAAAAAAACTAAGATCATGGCATCCGGCCCCATCACTCCTTGGCAAATAGAAGGGGAAGTCGTGGAAGTAGTGACAGACTTCACGTTCCTGGGATCCCAGATCACCGCAGACTGTGACTGCAGCCATGAAATTAAAAGACGCCTGCTCCTTGGGAGGAAAGCGATGGCGAACCTAAACAGCATGATAAAAAGTAGAGACATCACCCTGCCAACAAAAGTCCGCATGGTCAAAGCAATGGTATTCCCAGTAGTCATGTATGGCTGCGAGAGCTGGACTATAAGGAAGGCCGAGCGCCGAAGAATAGATTCTTTTGAACTATGGTGCTGGAGAAGACTCTTGAGAGTCCCTTGGACTGCAAGAAGAACAAATCAGTCAATGCCCCACTGCTGGACCTCCTGATGGCCTCTGGTATTTTTGGCCGCTGTGTGACACAGAGTGTTGGACTGGATGGGCCACTGGCCTGATCCAACATTGGCTTCTCTTATGTTCAAGGAGTATCCTGTCCCATTTAATGAGTACGGAACCAGTACACGCTCATTGAGATAATGTACTTCACAGGGTTATTGTGAGGATAAAATGGTGGAGAGGAGAACCATGTAAACTGCTTTGGGTCCCCATTGGGGAGAAAGGTGAGGTACAAATGAATTGAATAAATAATAAATAAATATCACCTGTCAGGCTTTTGTGGGAGTCTCACCACTTTTAGCCACATGCGCAAAGGAGAGCCACCAAGTAATTAAAGGAACACACCATGTATGAGGAAAAGACTGATGGAATCTTGAATGTTCAATACTGGGGGAAAGAAAACAATGGCCGGATTACTTGTCACAGATGTTTTTAAAGCCCTACTTCATAGAGGGGAGGGCAATTTGAAAATACTTTCGGCTGGATAAGAGGAAATGTTCTTGAGTTGTCCAGAAAGAGGAGATGCCTGAATGAATTTTGTTTTACAAACACTGAAGAAAAAAAGGGGAGAGGGAACTCAACCCAAAATATAACTGAGAGGATCAAGCTAACATATAAATTATATTTAAAAATACAAATATTTATTAGGGTGTACACAAAACTAAAATATACATACGGTTAAAAGAAATATTCTTTATGACACACATCCAGTTGACTTGACTACTACCTTTGATGGAAGTGACACACATCCTGACGAATGGGATATTCTCTACCAGAATAATTTGGAGAATTTGCACAGCTACTACCTATGGCTCACTATACAAACTTGTAGCAAATGCAAAGCATATAAGAAAGCAACATCTGTTCATATATATGTACAAAACTCTTTAAGCATGTATTTCTGGATGTGTGTCATTGCAAAATAAAGAATATTGACCACTGAGGAAGGCCAAAAGGGGCCAAAATGCGTATGGTCCTTAGGTCATAAGTTTTACCCATCAATTGGATATGTATAACTATCAGCTTTGATTATATAAGTCTGATATTTAGACTATTCCTTTTAACCGTTAGTATGTTTTAGTTTTGTGTACACCCTAATAAATATTTGTAATTTTAATATAATATATATGTTAGCTTGACCCTCTGAATTTTGTTTTACTTCATGCCAGTTCACATGGTCCAATACTTCTTCATGCAGTACCTCCTGCAGGCAAAGCTAACAATGGTAGGAAGGACGAAACTTGTAACCTGCTACCTGTCGCCATGCACAACCACAGCAACCTTACCTGGTACTGACTTTTGCACTCAAGTCTTTGCTATCAAGCTTCCTAGATTCCCACAAATCACTGAAGCTCCATCCCATTATGGGCCAGGTCATATCAGGCATTCTCTAGATAATCCTGTTTCTGTGGTCTGGTCAGGATGCTTTGTGCACATGAGAATATGGTGGCTTGGATCATCCCTCAGGCTTATTTACAAGATCAGAAAGCCTTGGTAAGTGGCTTTCAGAGAGGGAAAAAACAGACCCCCACATTAAGGTGATTAGTCCTACAGAGCCGGGCAGGTCCTAAATAAATATGAATGAGTGGTATATTAGTTGCAAGAATAGCAACATAGATACGGGCTCTGTAGCCTCAGGTACCCCAAACATCATCCATTCTGTTTTCTTCTTCACTTCAGAGCCCCGGAGTTATGTGGAGTCTGTGGCTCGTACAGCAGTAACAGGCGATGGCGGCAGCACTAATGGGAAGCCTCAGGCAGCCCCAGCTCCACAGCTTTACGACTCGGGGACACCACTGAGGGATGGATCCTTCGCCAACTCCTTCACTTCCTCAAGCCCTGTTGCTGCTAGCAGCCCCCTGCACAGCCCTGATGGGTAAGAAAGGGCAGCTGTAAAGCAGTGGGCCCACCAGGGAATTGATTGGTGCTCTTAGCGATGCAAGATTTTGTGATCGTATCAAGTGGTACTGTAGCATTTTACTTATCTTCTAAAGCTCTTCACCTGATGCACCATGTAAGGGAGGCTATGTAAGCTGTGTGATCACTCTATTCTTGATTGTATTTTGGGCATCTACTGATTAGTCCTGCAAGTAAAGGTAAAGGTTTTCCTTGCTCGAAAACTAGTTGGATCAGACTCTAGGGGGCGGTGCTCATCTCTGTTTCCAAGCCGAAGAGCCAGGGTTGTCCAAAGACTTCTCCGTGGTCATGTGACCGGCATGACTAAATGCTGAGGCACAGGAAACGTTGTTACCTTTCCACCGAAGTGGTACCTATTTATCTACTTGCAATTTCTTGTTTTTGAACTGCTTGGTTGGCAGGAGCTGGGGCCAGAGACGGGAGCTCACTCCGTCATACAGCACTCGGGTCTCGAACTGCCGAACTAACGACCTTCAGGTCTGCAGTTCAGCGTCTTAACCTCTGAGCCACCACAGCCCCTTAGTCCTGCAAGTAGACCTTCACAATTGCAAGTCTAGTTCATTTCTCTGTCCTTTCCTTGTACTGTCCTTGGTACTTTACAGGGCTTTGGTTAAACTGTTGCTCAGTTGCCTAGGACAGTGTATGACACCATAACTTTGGTAGTATTACTGTTTTCCTTACTCTTCTAATTATCATTGTTCCTCAAAAGAGTACTTTTATTTGATCCTGTTCTGCATTGCCACACAGCATTTAGCCACCAGTCCAACATAGGATAGTTTTACAAATGTTACCAGCCAGAGTACCTGTTCTTAATAGGTTTGTGGATGGAGGTAAATGTTGATATGCTTGACAACATCCTGACATGCACCTATGAATGTTTGTCCAGACACAAAAAACACATTCCTGGCTTACTGGGAAATACTTTACCATCCAAACTGTTTACGTTTATAGAGTCAAATGCTGGATTGCAAATTGAGAAGTTTTCCAAAGTCAAACCAGCTACCTTTTAGGATATGACTCAAGCCCTCTCAATATTTATTGAGGTTATGAACATAAAACGAACATTCTTAGGAGCAAATAGATACAGTCACGTATCTGAGTGGAGATCAAAAACAGAAGTCTGGATATAGCCCTTAATAGTTCTAAGGTCACTGTGACTTAGGCTCATTGAAGAATTTGTGGGAACCAAAAACTTTAGGTAACAGGTTTAGATAGATGTGTTCTACTTTGATGAAGTCTGACAAGTGCTGTTCTCTCCAGTTGTACATAATACTGTACAGGGCTAATGAATTCTCACCTCTTCCATTCCTTCTTTCAGGATCTCTGTATGTAGCTACCCTTCGGAGAAAAGTACTCACAGAATGGCCATGTATCCGCCCTCAGCTGAGTCCAGCTTCCAATCCACCAACCTTTCTCAGGCGCCATCAGTGCACAGCAGCTACCAAAATACCTCTTCTTCAAGTCAGGGTCTCCCAGTCTACGCGAGTGCTGACTTTCCTGAAGGCCAAGCCAGCTCTCAGCAAGATAGCTATCCAAGTCCTCAACCTCAAGTCAATGTGGTTGGAGTCACACATGGAAGCCCCCAGTCACTCCATAGAACAAATACTCCCCCGAGCCCAAGTTTGGGGCGAAGAGCTGTTAACACCAACATGGTGGCCACCCCTGGAAGCCCAAGTATGAACAGGCAGTTAATGGGTACCCATGGCAACCTTATTGCAACACCTGGGAGCCCAAGCCTTACTCGGCACCAGCCTATAATAGGAGGCACCACATCCACAGTCTCTGGGAGTCCCAGCTTGGATCAACACATTATATATGGGTACCCAACCCCAGAGGAGAAGCGCCCAACACTGTCTCGCCAAAGCAGTGCCTCAGGTTTCCAAGCCCCCTCTACCCCATCTTTCCCTGTCTCTCCAGCATATTACCATGGAATTAGCAACCCACACACCTCTTCCCCTGATTCAGCAGTATATAGGCAGGGCAGCCCCACCCCTCCTCAACCAGTGCTCCCAGAGAAGAGGAGGATGTCGTCGGGGGATCGGTCAAACAGCCTGCCTAACTATTCTACAGTTAATGGCAAGACCTCTTCGCCCATCTCCAGTGGCATGTCTAGTCCCAACAGTGGGAGCAGCATGGCCTTTCATCACACCCTGCCAGATTTCTCCAAGTTCTCAATGTCAGGTAAAACCTCACTTGATGTAACCTTTCATTTGGGTAGAAGTGATTTATAATGATTTTTTTTTAAGCACAGGGTATGTAGGGTATACCTTCTTCCTGTCTCTTCTGCCTGATTGGTGAGGCTTTGATCACGGTGACCACTTTCCTCCCTTTGAGCCTTCTAGCCCTCTGACTGCTCTGGAAAAAGCTTGCACACAGGGCATTTTTGCTGGGAAAAGAGGTGCCAGTACTCTCAAGGGGGAAATGAAGGAGAAACACATGGGATGCTTTGAAACAATATTATTTTCATGCGCTATGGACTTACCTCAGCTTTAAAGCCGTTTCCAAACTTTAGACTTGCCACCAACTTCCTCAGTTCTGAATCCACTTCTGCCCACCCTCCGGGGACTCCCCCTTCTTCCACCTGACACCCTGCTACACCTTCTTGAGTACTTGTTCTTGATCATTCAAGGCTGTCGCTTTAGTCTGTAGGATCCTCTCTTGCACACTCCCTGCCTCAATCCCTCCACTTTGGTGTAGTGGTTAAGTGCGCGGACTCTAATCTGGGAGAACCGGGTTTGATTCCCCACTCCTCCACTTGCACCTGGCTGGATGGCCTTGGGCAAGCCGTAGCTCTGATAAGAGCTGTCCTTGAAAAAGAGCAGTTTGTGTCAGAGCCCTCTCAGCCCCACCTACCTCACAGGGTGTCTGTTGTGGGGAGGGGAAGGGAAAGGAGTTTGTAAGCCGCTCTGAGACTCCCTTGGGTAGTGAAGGGCAGGGTATAAATCCAATCTCTTATTCTTCGTTATCTAGGTGGTTTCATTCAGAAGTACTTGTCTGCTCTCAAAGCTTCTTTTCCATCTGCCGCCCTCCTTGCAGGGGTCTCCTTTCTTGCCGCGGGCCTCAGCTTGCAAGGCTTTTGATGACAGGATGTTCTCGAGGTCATTCATTCAAAGGGTCACTAAAGTCAGAAGTGACTTGACTGCACTTAACACACACACCTTTCTTGCATAAATGTATCTCCAGGGTTTGTGTCTCCAGGGTTCTTCCACTCAGGGTCCACACAGCAAGCTCTTACAGCCTTTGCATACACCCGTTTGTAGGGTCCTCCCTTCCCTCGAAGTTCTGCCTTTTCTAGGGATTTCTGGTGTTCTCCTCCCACAGGTTTCTTGTTTACCTCCAAAATGTCTTTTGCTAGACAGGCATGCACTGAACCTCCCACTTTCCTCCCTAGTGCTCTCCCCCAAAACACTGTTGCAGACCAAAGGGAAATCAACTCTCTCTGGTACTCACCACCTCCTTCGCCCATCAGGGGCCCTTTCACAACCAATTTTCTCACTTCCATCCCGAAGGACTTCTCAGCTCTACTTCAGCCACCCCCTTCTCCCTCCTCACTCTGGACTTCCTCCTCCCTCAGGTCCTCCTCATGTCCAGCCATTTTCACTGCTCCAGGGATTCCCTCGCATGCAACCACAACAGCCTCTGCAAAACCACACTGTGAAACATGCACTTCTGAAGAAGCAAGCAGTGACACGCAAAAGCTTCTACCCTGCCACAAATTTTGTTAGTCTTTAAGGTGCTCCTGGACCCTGGCTCTTTTTTATTGCTGCAGACTAATGCAGCTTGATCTACCTTCCTCACAGAGCTCAGCTTTCAAGCCCTTAGTTCTTTGCCATGACATCTTCTATCAAATGGGTCCCCAGGATAAACATCCTTCTCCTTTTTCTTCCATTCCAAATTAAAAATTATCCTTTTTGTTCTCCTAACTGCTTTGCATGAGCCCTGCTCCAAAGAAGGGTATCTAAAGGGCTGTCTCCCCCTTGGCATGTCTCTGTGACTCCAAACTGCCCCAGCTTCGATGTTCTGCCACAGCATCCTCCATCAAGCAAGTATACCAACCTGAAACTCCTCCCTTCTCCCCACTCCTCCACCCAGGGACTCTTCTCTCAAGGCCCATTCATGCTAACTTTCCCTGCTCTGTGCCGCTTCTTTCACTCCCTCTCATGGTGTCTGCCTAGTGAAAATCCTCTATATGTGCTATAGCCCTAGCCTGCAAAGACTTCTGCTAGGCTATTAGCCCTTCAGATTTCACAAAACTGGTTTGTTTTTGCTATATCAGACTAACACAGCTCCCCTGGCCAGGGACAGGCAGGGCTGGGTGGGCTCCACTTGGCTTCTGTCAGGCAAGGGGGGTCCACAGCTGGAGTGTCCCAGGGGCGTGGGCGGGGGAGCCATTTTCAGCAGCGAGAGTGACTAGTGGAAGTTTGGCACTTTATAGCCTCGGCTCCTCGGAAACCATCTCCGCACAATGCTTCTGCCCCTCCCTCATGCGTGCCTGCCTTACGAATATGCTGATAGGGAGGGGAGGGGCCTAAGACCTGGGGAATGAGGAGGAAGAGGAGGAAGAGAAGGTGCACGGCCAATAAGGGGCTCCCCTTTCTGCAGGGAAGGTGCACACTCATTAGCTAAGGTGTGGTAGACCAAAGTGTAGAATAGAACCTGCTCTGCCTTGTGACATGGGGAAGAGAAGGTTACAATGGCAGTGGTGTCGGCTGTCTCTGGAATGTGGCAGTGGTTGCTGCTCATCCTGAGGGGCCTCATAAGAACATAAGAACATAAGAGATGCCAATGTTGGATCAGGCCAAAGGCCCATCCAGTCCAACACTCTGTGTCACACAGTGGCCAGAAATACCAGGTGCCATCAGGAGGTCCACCAGTGGGGCCAGGACATTAGAAGCCTCGAGTCACCTCAGGAGGAGTTGAAGAGGTGCCAGAATGCTATTCCAGTGCATTCCAACAGAAAAAAAGCCCTGTTTGCACATATTGTATTCTGGGGTGTATTCACACCTCAAGGACAAATTCCTTTGTATTGGGATGTAAAAGTTCATACAAAAATGTTTGTGGTGAAGGAACCATTGTGTTTGGCAATACTAAAGCATTCAGAGTTTGAAAACACACTCAGACATGAAGCAGAATCTTTCTTTCACATAGATTCCCCCCTCGCCTTTGGCAAACTGAATACTTCAGAGCGGTATGGTTGCTTTACAAAGCTTTTTAAAAATGTGAAGCTCTGTTTGTCACCTAAGATCGACAGCTAATATAAACATTCATAAATATTAAATAAAAACATCTACAGTTAATAATGTGTAACAGTATTATATCTTAGGGTGTTTTTTCTTTACCTCACAAGTGTTTCTCTCTGTGAGGTAAATATTTTTCAGGTTATCAGACAAGGTCATCAAGTTGTCCCGAAGAGCTGTATCCCTCCAGAGCACTTCAAAATAGTTCCTTGGACTCGTCTTAAACACACTAGATATTTTTTAACCCCAATATGTTAAATGGGCTTGGGGTGCAAAAATACCCCAATAGCCAAATGCCTAATTGGATTTAATTGGACCCCAGGTGTTTGTTTACAGAAAGCAAACTGTTAAGTGGAAAGTGACTGTTCTTTGGTGATATTGTTTACTACTGTACAGGTAGCGACAGTAGCCAGTCGTCTATGCATTCTGCCAACAAAAATGCAGGCAGGACAGGAAGCGCATGTAAAGCTTAGACAGACAGCTAGAGAAAATTGGACTTGACTATAAATGCTGTAAATAAATAAATGTATCCTACATGCATCTCTGTCCTGGTACACCAAGCTTTCCCCATTCCCTGGGAAACTAGAAATTACTGGTACTACCAATGCCTCCCGAATCTGTTTATAGATTTTACAGTCAAAAATTACACTCCTATCCCCACATGGGCATAGGAATTCTTCTAAAGGTGTCTTCTTATATTTGCCTTTCAGTACTGCAGTAGGCAGCACATCATATCTTAGCAGAGTGAAAGCCCTCCTATAATTGGGATTCTCTAAACTGTTAACATAAGGCACCAATAAGTGCCTAATTAAGGTGTTCAAATCAATTATATCACTTTTCAATCTATTCAGATCGTGTTGTCTTTCAACATTTAGAATCCTTTGTTTTACCACAGACCTCACTTGATCCTGATGCATAGACAATAGATACTGTTATTTGCTTATTCTACTCCATAACTAGGATAATGTGATTGGATATATGTTTTTTTTTATTGTAAGCATGTTCAATGTTTCTTAATCTGGAATAAAAAGAGTCATTAATTTAGTGGGGGCCTAGAAGGAGTTCTGGGAGAAGGACAATGCTTTGGAAATCTTCCCTCAAATCTCCTCCTCCATTGATTAAATTTGGAATAAAAGTATGCCATCTTGGGGGTACCCTGTAAGATATCCCTTCCCTGAGTATCTCATCTTATGTTTGTTGTTTCCATGTCTCTTAGACAGCAGCCCTGAGACCCGAGCGAACGTGAAGTTTGTCCAGGATACCTCCAAGTACTGGTATAAACCAGAGATCTCCAGAGAACAAGGTGAGTTTCTTTCTTAGCAGAAAAGGGTGGTTTAGTGAAGAGTTCTTGGCAAACAAAAGTTCAGCTTTAGACGCTGTGGATGAAGACAATCACTAAATCTGCAAGAAAACACCTAATTCTACCAGAACATTATGACAGATTAATGGCAGATTGTGGGCTTCCATTGCTAGCCTTGATTCAGACCGTGGGTTTGCAGTATCTGTTGTGTAGCTACAGATAATCATTTTACTGCACATCACCACTTTTTCCATAACCCTGCTTTTTATTGATTGATTTTAGAGCATTTATAATTCACCTTTCTCAAAAAGATTCAGAATGTACATATGACCAAGCTATTCCAGGATGAGAAAGTTCACCACAGTATAGTATGGTTTCTGTATGGCATTACTAGTGGGCAGAATCCCTTCCCTTTGTGCTCTGGAGATTACCTGGAGTAACAAGACCAATCTTTTGGCCACCTTAATTCATTGGTAACCTACTGCAGGCTCTGGATAGATGTTTGCATTGGATCCCCAGGCCCTGGTGGTTGGCACAATGATTTTCATTCCTCTGACAGAAAAGTATTATTTCCATTCTATTTTTAGATGCTTTCTGTACATTTAAAAATAATTTTCTTGGTCTTACCTCACCATCCTGGTACTCTTCTTTAGACCAAATAGTCTTGGTTCTTTCAACCGTTTTCTCTTAGAACTTGCATTCTAAAAGCTTGACCTTCATTGTTTAACTCCTCTGAACCATAACAGGTTTGACAGCATTAAAAATAGAGTACAGTTAAGTAGCTTAATCTTTTGAAGAACAGATCCTTTAATCTGTAAGCCTGTTGGATCCCCAAGCATCGAGAATAAATCCACGTTTTCAAGAAAAGCAAAATTTATTTCAAAGCGTTGAAGACATACTCAAACACGTTCTTTGTTAGAACTGGGGATACACAGTTAGGTCAAGCATAATAAAGGAACTTCAAATAGATACAGATCCAATGGAGAGCTTTCCCGCTGGCGGGCTAATGAAACGGTTGCGCGCCCAGTACGTGGGAACCAGGCAGAACATCAGACAAAACACAGGTGCAGTACTCATGGGAAAAGCAATAGGCAAGCATTACAGCATCTTCTCCCCCACACAACCTCCAGCAGTTATCTTGTGCATTCCAACGCAGGAGCAGGATGATAGAAACCAAGCCGGGTGTAACAGGGAAAGGATATGTACACAGAGGTCACAGAAAACAGAATGGCAGCTTGCTGACATACTGCCCCCCTTAAAATACACTTACAACACACCTCCCGGCCTGGGCGGGAGACCTCCCGGGCTGGGCGGGAGACCTCCCGGTTTGTCCGGGAACCTTCTGTGGAAACTACGGATCAGGTAAGGGGCCCGAATATCCCCTTCTTCCACCCATTCGCGGTGCTGGGGACCGAAATCAACCCATTCGATAAGGTACCAGAGTTTACCACGTTTCAATTTACAATCAAGGATATCAGCGATCTCAAAATGTTCATCCCCTTCCAAAATGACAGGTGGAGGAGGAGTAACTGCTGGTCTCCAGGGAGACGGGCCAGGATCCTTCTTCAACAGGCTCATGTGAAAAACAGAATGCAGAGCACGTAAATTCTTAGGCAAAACAACATCAACCGCCACATCATTTATGACTTTACGCACTTTGAATGGACCAATGAACTTCCACCCCAATTTCCTGCTAGGCCGCAGCATCTTAATGTTCTTGGTCGAGACATACACAAGATCCCCAGGTTTCAGATCAAACCCCACCACCCTACCCTTGTCTGCCTGGGTCTTGTAAGCAGCCTTGGCTGCGTCAAGTGTTTGGCATAGCAGAGGCCATGCTTTTTGCAAGGACATACACCAGGTATCAGCATCCCCCACAGGACGTTGGCCCATCCCCTCCAGGAAAGGGAGGGGGGGCTGTCGTAACCAGAGACAGCTTTATAAGGAGACATGCCCGTGGAGCTATGGACAGTATTGTTATAACAATATTCAGCAAGAGGCAACAATTCACACCAATCATTCTGTTGATAATTAGTAAAACAACGAAGATATTGCTCCAGGGTCTGATTAACTCGTTCCGTTTGTCCGTCAGTTTCAGGATGATACGCGCTGCTGAGCCCTTGTTCCACCCCTAAAATGGAAAGAAGTTCCCTCCAAAACTTAGAAACAAATTGGGTCCCCCTGTCAGAAATTAATTTAGCAGGTAATTGATGAATTTTCACCACGTGAGACATAAACGATTTCGCCAACCTCTGAGCTGTAGGCAAGGAAGGAAAAGGCACAAAATGAGCTTGCTTAGAAAATAAATCAACAACCACCCAAATAACAGTGTTCCCTTTGCTCGCAGGGAGGTCAGTAATAAAGTCCATGGACACCACTTCCCACGGTCTCGATGGGGTAGGGAGTGGCTGCAGAAGACCAGGAGGCTTGCCCACTCTGGGTTTAGTCAAGGCACAGGTTTGGCAGGACCGAACAAAAGTCAAGAGGTCTTTGCGCATCTGTGGCCACCAGAACTGTCTGCGGATGAGTTGCAGAGATTTAACAAAACTCCAATGCCCTGCCAGTTTCGAACCGTGAGCAGACTCCATCACCTCCCTCCTCATTGAAATAGGCACATACAGTTTGTCTCCAGAATAAATCAGACCTTCAGGGCTACGGACACAATCTGGCAACGCTTTCAGGGAGGCATCATCATCAGCAGTAAAAGCAGACATATATTTCTGGACCCAGCCCCCCCCCCCCCAGGGAAAAGGGAAGGCGAAGTTTCATCAGAACGCGGAATGGATCGCGCTTGCGCACGGGTGACCACAGCCCCCCCCAGGTGGGAGGGGGAAAAAACAGAGTCCATGATGATCTCACGCTGACTGTCATGTTGTGGGAGGCGTGAGAGCGCGTCAGCCAGGGAATTAGCCGTCCCAGGGAAATGACGAAGAGTGAATCGAAACTTAGCAAAGAAGTCCGCCCAACGAAGTTGTTTAGCGTTGAGAGAACGGGGGGATTTCAGCATTTCCAGATTTTTATGGTCAGTCCAGACTTCAAATGGCAGTTGCGCCCCCTCCAACCACTGCCTCCAAGTGGAGAGAGCCAGCCGGATCGCTGATGCCTCCTTCTCCCAAATCCCCCAGTTTCGTTCAGCGTCAGAAAACTTTTTAGACACAAATGCGAGGGGGTGTAAACGACCATCTTCCCCTTCTTGCAAAATAGCGGCCCCCATTGCCACATCCGAGGCATCAGTTTGGACAATGAATTTTTTAGTTTCATCAGGGCGCGCCAGCACTGGCTCAGAGGTGAACATCAGTTTAAGTTTCTCAAAAGCCTCTGCGCAAGCAGGGGACCATTTAAGCGGGGCGCCTGGTTTCGTAGCATCAAAACCCTTCCCCTTGGTCTTTAGCAAATCAGTCAGAGGAAGGGCAATTTGAGCGAAATTCTGGATGAAATTTCTGTAAAAATTGGCAAATCCGAGGAACATTTGCAATTGTTTGCGGGTCCTGGGGGGTTCCCAGTCAAGTACAGCCTGTATTTTAGCAGGGTCCATTTCCACCTTCCCCCCAGAGATGCGATAACCCAAAAAGTCAATGCATGTCTTGTGGAATTCACATTTTGACAGCTTTGCAAACAGGTGGTGTTCATAAAGTCGCTTAAGGACCTGGCGCACCAATTTAATATGCGACGGGAGGTCCTGAGAGTACAGCAACACGTCATCAAGGTAAAGGACCACTCCTTTGAACAAGAACTCATGTAGGACCTCATTGATTAGGTTCATGAAGACCCCCGGAGCCCCTTGAAGCCCGAAGGGCATAACGAGGTACTCAAACTGCCCCAAAGGGGTATTAAATGCAGTCTTACTTTCATCCCCCTCCCGAATGCGCACACGGAAATATGCATCTCGGAGGTCAAGTTTCGAGAAGATTTTGCCCTTGGTGGCCTCAGCTACCAAGTCCTTGATTAGCGGGAGGGGGTAAGCATTGGACAAAGAAACAGCGTTCAGACCCCTATAATCAGTGCACAATCTAAGCCCCCCGTCTTTCTTCTTTCGGAAAAGTACAGGCGCGGCGAAAGGGGAGGAAGCCGGGCGAATGAAACCTCGGGCTAGGTTTTTATCAATAAAGTTCCGCAGTTCAACTTTCTCAGCCGGCCCCATCGCATAGATTTTACCTTTAGGTAATTTACAGTCAGGCAAAAGTTCAATAGCACAGTCAGTAGAGCGATGGGGGGGCAATTCGTTAGCTTCATCTTCGCCAAACACTTTCGCCAAGTCTCTATACTCTCGAGGCAAAGAAGCTAACTCTTCCGGCTGCAAAGCGCCGCAGGGGAACTGTGCGGTCGGCTGGTCCCCCCACGAGTCCAACCAGCAGTGATCTACACATTTAGCCGACACAAATTTGACAACCCCTTCTTCCCACAAGATGTAAGGGTCATGGGTAAACAACCAGGGACTCCCCAGTACTAAGTCAAACTGCGATTTAGGGGTAACAATGAAGGATCTGGATTCCCAATGATCGCCAGCCCCCAACCGCAAAGCCATAGTCTCGTGTGTACAAGGTTCCATGGGTGCCCCATCCATTTGGGTAAAAATGATGGGAGACTTCAAGGGGACTATCCCCGCTTCCAGTGCCAATAACACTCTAGGGCTGATGAGATCCCTCCCACACCCAGAATCAATCAACGCTCTCACCCTAACGTGGGTCCCCAGGAGCGGATTCATTAACGAGACAGTCACGAAAAACAGGGAAGGGGTTTCTCTCACCACCTTGGGCGCAGCATTAGAATGGCCTTGTCGTTTTGCGCCTCTCACAACAGGCCGTTGTCGTTTTCCGCCGTTTCAGGCACCACCTCTTCTTCTGACTCGGCAGCAGACGGTTCGATTCCCTCCGGGCCTTGGGCCGCCTGCAGAGCTTTGGAGAAACGCGGTTTAGCCATCCCCTTCTGCCTCGTCAGTGGCGTCTTAGGGCTCGGAGTAGGCGGCTTGTCTTTTACCTGACGGCTGCCACAATCCACAGCGA